TAATGACTATTACTAATCATTTCTCCTTTAAAAGCTTGCCAAATTTATTGTTTAACAGGATCTTGAGGTTCTCAAGAACCTAGGTTGTTGTGTGGATGGCAAATTGCCAATGTTTTTTTATCCCCTCTTTTAACAGATAAAAGTATGACAATGGTAGAAGAACTCATAGGACGTTCTTTCAAAGTTTCGTTGTTTATTAAACTTAACTAGTATAGAAAACAGTAGAAGAACTCATAGGCCATTCTTTCAAAGGTTCATTGTTTATTAGAGTTATGTGTAATATAGACTTCCGTTTGGTATTTTAAGTTTGTTTTGTATTTTTATGGTTCTATTTGTACAAGAAACATTTGAATAGAATTGTATAGGGTATGTGGTTATTTGTGCATGTGTCCTTAGAATGTTGTAGAAGTTTAGTTGGATGCTCCATTTGGAAATAGAAGAATTCTAAATTAATTGGCTCAGGCTCAACAAAAAATGTAGTTTAATGAATTATGATGGCCATGTGATACATGGTTCTAAGACTTCAGTCTTGTATTTATTGCAGGCTGGACAGGAATCTTTCAGATCTATTACCAGATCATATTACAGGGGAGCAGCTGGAGCACTTCTTGTGTATGACATTACCAGGTGTTGCATTTGAAATTTCTTTCTTTTGCCATGGGTTTTGTTGTGCTTGAACATTTTAGTCTGCACATTGTTGTTTATAAACAAGAACTGTTGTTTATAATCAAGGAACTGGAAAAGCTTATCCTTCTCAACATGGATTATGGGAAAAGCACCCACCCCCCCTTCTCTTCCTCTCTCTCTCACCATTGATTAAATTTTCAGCAAAATTAGTCACAGGTCTTGGATTCTGGCGATTGTAACATTTTTTAATAATTACTTTTTATTTTAGCTGAATGCATGAGTCGGATGATAATTGTAATTTATCTTTTTTGTTTCCTAGTCAACTGATGATTTATTCATTTAATACAAAGTTTGTCTGAAATTGTATTGAGATCTGTTGTTTATAATCAAGAAACTGGAAAAAGCTTATTCCTCTCAACATGGAAGAAACCCCCGCCCCCCTCCTTCTCTCCCTCTCTCTTTCTCACCATTGATTAAATTTTCAGTGAAATTCAGTCCAAAATTAGTCATAGCTCTTGGATTATGCTATTGTAGCATTTTTTAATAATTGTTTTTTATTTTAGCTGAATGTATGAGTCGGTTAATAATTGTAATATATCCTTTTTGTTTCCTTGTCAACTGGTGATTTATTCATTTAATACGAAGTTTGTCTGAAGTTCTATTGAGATCTGGCTGAACATCTAAGAATGAGCTATGTTTCCTTCTTGTTCATCACATCTAACTATTTGCTTCAATTTTGGCTTACATTCAATTCAAAATTCAGCCTTGACTTCGTGCTTTCTTGTTAAAACCATTCTAAAAACTGAAATTATTATATCCTGAGATGTATTATTTGCTAGATCTAAGTCATATGGTAATAGTTAACTTTAGCTGCTTAGTGAAATCAATTCTTAGCTGCTTAGTGGAAGTCAATTTTTTTAAAAAATAGGAGTAGAAATGATATCTATATTTGATTTTGGTAGTTGATTTGTAACATTTTCCAGGCGAGAAACGTTCAACCATCTTGCGAGTTGGCTTGAGGATGCCCGGCAGCATGCCAATGCTAACATGACCATCATGCTCATTGGCAATAAGTGTGACCTTGCTCATAGGAGAGCAGTTAGCACTGAGGAAGGAGAGCAGTTTGCCAAAGAACATGGTCTTATTTTCATGGAAGCTTCGGCAAAAACTGCTCAGAATGTCGAGGAGGTGACCAAACTGATCTCTGACTGTTATGCAAATTAATGGCGAACTGAAATAGGTTTAGATGCATTGTCCACTATACTCAAAGCTCAGTCAAAGAATCAAATGTGCTATTAAATTTTTTTAACAAAAAAATAGAATTAATATGCCAAAAAATCTCAATCTTGTTATCAGGATTCTTTGGCAGAGAGATTTTTCTGGATGAATGTATGTTAGCCAAATTTGAGGAAAAAATCCAAATTTTGAACTGTCTTGTCAAGGTTATCCTATACTTTTTTTGCTCTTTATATTTAGCCTAATATTCTGTCATGAATCCTTTCCAGGCTTTTATAAGCACTGCAGCAACAATCTACAAAAAGATTCAGGATGGAGTGTTCGATGTATCGAACGAGGTATACTATGATAATTATTAAATGTTTTAGAATTTGTGATGCAAAATATTTTTTTGGTAAATGTATGAGGAAGTTCACCAATTTATGTTATCAATTTTACTGTTGAGAATCTTTAACGCTCCTCAATTTCATGATTACAAAACATTGACTTTCAGGCTTTGTTAGTTACCATTCTACAGACTTGCCCTTTAGCATACATTGATTCTCAGAGAACCCGGTTTCTTATGACCCATAAATTTCTTGTTTTAATATTTTGCACTACTGAGATCCTATACTTCATAAATTAACACCACCTCAAATTGTTGATGTTAATATTATTCTTTTTCCTTCTGATAAGCAAAAATGAAACCCATTTTCACTTCTCAAAGAAAACAAAGTTATGTTCTTTAAATGTTCACGATCAATGAAACTACTATGTCCTCATTGGTTTGGTCTGTATTTGCTTTCAAGAATAAAATGTTTCGATTTCTTTCAGTGTTTTAACACCATCTTACCTTGTGGATGATGGGTTTTGCCTTCTTCAGTCTTATGGGATCAAAGTTGGATATGGAGGCATTCCTGGGCCGTCAGGAGGAAGGGATGGCTCTGTCACTCAAGGCGGTGGCTGCTGCAGTTGATGCTCTCGTCTGTTAATCGAACACTTCTACATCCTTTCTTCATCAAGCCTGAGTTGAACCTGTTATTCCTTGGCATTTGAAGCATGGTGGATCGAACTGTATAGTTTCTAGATATATGGATAATACCCATGACAATAATTCCTTTTATTGGTTTCCATTCATCATAAGTAATTGTTTCTTGCATCAGTTTTACACATTGTTTTAAAGATTTGGATTTCATGTATGTTTTTGTGAAGATTCGCCTTGGCATTGGATTTTGGGAATCTTTCCTAGACTTCTTCTTTCTTTTTATATGTTTATATTAGGATTTTTTTTTTTGTGTTGGGATCGTATACCATTTATCTTTGTTAATAAGACTTCCCCATTATTTTTAGCCATTAGATGTAAATTGGACAGTTTGGTGCCTTATGAAGCTCAAGAATTCTTTTTTTTTTTGGACTTCGGGTCTAGTCAATGACGGCCGCTCGATTTGAAATATGACGGACAAGAGTGATTGTGACGTATTTGTACAAAAAGTAAATGGTCTCTTGTATACTCTTTTTGTTGTATTTTGCTCCATCATATGATAAATTTATAATACAAATTTATGAAGCTGCAAAAGCTTACTTGCTACTATCAAGTTTCATGTTTGAGGTCTTGCTTGAATTGGCTACATGAATATTTGGAGGAAGCTGCAAATCCATATGAACTTGTAAAAGTAAGTCATATGTATAAAAAGTGCAGGGGACTATTAAAATAACAACTACTATATAGTGTTAATTAATTATTTTATGTAAAATGTTAAAAAAAAATTATGTGATCATGTGTATCCGTCACATGTCATGCTAAATGCCTATTGTGTAAGCAATCGGAGGTCATCCAAGAATCCATTTTTTAATGGAAAATGGTTTGATAGGGTTGCAGCCCTATCAAAATAAGTAAATCCTTGTATCATAACTCATCGAAAATTACAATTTAAATGTTGGAAAACCTTTACCTCCACCATGAATATCATGGTTATAAAAAAAATTTAGGATTTCGAACTTTATATTGTAACCAATGGTTTGAAAAGTAGATCGGTGATTCGGATCGGGCACTTCAAAAATTGATTTGGATCAGCGAATCGGCGATCCGGATTGAAAATCGATTGAATCATTCAGATTAAAGTTTCAAAAAAATTCGAAAAAATTATTAAAATTCATTATAAATATTGTTTTTTAGGAATTCAATAAGAAATGAGGGTATTTCATTAAGAATTTTAATTTTTTTGCATGAATATATGAATGTTGATATGTTCTTTTCCTGCATAAACTACTATTTACCATTTAATTTACATCACACAAAGGGATAAACATAGAATTATCATGGAATAAGTTATATCAACATGTAATTTTTTCAATAAAAATTTTAACAATAAAAATTAAAAATCTGGTTTAATACCTCATGATAATCAAAACCTGGTCACTATTTTCACATCTTTTCTAAAAATCACGATTTTTTAAAAAAAATCGATCATGTACTAAACAAATAAAAACAATTTTTCATAGAGCCACCTAACACCAGTCTTTCCAACTCAAAAATGCATTAACAACAAATTAAAAAAATACAGTTTTGCATTAAAAATATAATAACATACATTTTTTTGCATAAATAATCTATCAACATACAATTTTTTCAACAAAAACTTTAACAATGAAAATTAAAATATATGGTTTAATACCTCATGATAATGAAAACCTGGTCACTATTTTCACAACTTTTCGGAAAATCAAGATTTTTCAAAAAAAATCGATCATGCATTAAAAAAAAAAAACAGATAAAAACAAATCTTCATAGAGCCACCTAAAATTAGTCATTCCAACTCAAAAATGCAGTAACAACAAATTAAAAAAATACAGTTTTGCATTAAAAATATAATAACATGCATTTTTTGCATAAATAATCGATCAACATACAATTTTTTCAACAAAAACTTTAACAATATAAATTAAAAATATGGTTTAATACCTCATGATAATCAAAACCTGGTCACAATTTTCACATCTTTTAGGAAAATAATCATTTTTCAAAAAATTCGATCATGGATAAAAAAAAAAAAGTACAACAAACTCAAACAATAAAAATTAAAAATATGGTTTAATACCTCATAATAATCAAAACCTTGTCACGATTTTCACATCTTTTCGAAAAATCACAAATTTTCAAAAAATTCGATCATGGATTACAATAATAATAATAATAATAATATGTTCTTCACAGAGCTACCTTACATCAGCCGTTTCAACTAAAAAATCCACCTCCAAATGAATAAATTACATCCAATTGAGTACATGTTTTGATAAACAACACTAGAAGGAATCAAAACCCTAAATTATGAACACATTATCTTCAATAAATCAAATCAAATCGATTAAATTGAGCAAAAAAAAAAAAAACGTAGTTCTTTACAGACAACAGTCATTGAATCTAAAAAATGAAGCTCAAATTGAATAAATCAGATCAAATTGAATACATCTGATTATAAACAAGACTACAACGATTCAAAACCCTAGAAATCTAATACATTATTTGTAATATATCGTGAACAATAGATCGAAAGTTGGAAAAAAAAAAAAAAAAAACAACTGAATTTTTTTTTTTTCATAGACATCACTATGTTCTTCTAAAAACTCAGGCTGTAATTGAGTAAATTAAATAAAATTGAATATGGTAACTGATAAAAGACATGATAAAGATTTAAAACCCTACAAATTTAACTGATTATTTTCAAAATATAGACTGAAATTGATCAAATGGCGAAAAAAAAAAAAAATGCAGAGTTCTTACTTGGTTTCGTGTACCCGTGGCTTCAATCTCCAAATTAATCTGTTTTTCTCAAAGATAATCACAAATTCGTAACAGAAATTTCTAATAAACACATTTATGATCAATATGCCTCAAACTTTTCACAGATTCATGCCCTATTTAGCATGAAACAAAACGAAAAGCGGAAACCCTAAAACCCGCAACTTTCACGATCCAAAAAATTGAATTTTTTCCACCATTTAATGCATGAAAAGGCTGAAAAAAGCTGCATAAAGCCTGAATATTCTATCACATGGCAAAAAAAAGAAGAAAAATGATAAAAAAAAAGACAAAATTTGAAGAAACCTGTGAAGAACACTGTGCAGCTCGTGTTCTTCACGAGACTCGCCGATTCGGTACAGTGAATCGACGATTCACTATACATAATCGCCCGGTTCTCTATGAAATTAGGCAATTCCGTGTAAAATACCAGAACTGGCACGGACTGTGCCGATTCCCAAGTCGAACTGGGCGAGTCCGATTTGACTCGGCGTTTTTTAAAACATTGATTGTAACAAATTATCCCGACCGTTTATTTTGTTGTAAAAATAACTGTTCACATATCCAATCTGTAACATTTTTTTAGTTTCAAATTTTATTATCCATATTGGAATCTGATTTTACGGATAAAGATCTGAGGTGAGGCTTGCCCTGATTTTATAAAAATGTCAAAATTATGTGATCGTGGCATATTCATCACATGTCATGCTAAATGCATCGACTCACATGCATTTAACGCGATCATGCATGTTCATCACATGTTATGCTAAATGCAAGATCACATAATTCGACATGTTAAATGCATGTGGGTTGACGCCTTGTGGTGTAAGTAATCCGAGGTCTACTTGGATGACCTCGGGGTATGTGGGTTGATGCCTTGTGGTGTAAGTAGTGGTTTAAAAAGTGGATCGGTGACTCGGATCGGGCATCTCAAAATCTGGATCGGCGAATCGGTGATCCGGATCGGGAATCGGCTGAATCGGTTTGATTAAACTTTAAAAAAAATCTGAAAAAAATATTAAAATTCATTATAAATGTTGTTTTTTAGGAATTCAGTAAGAAATAAGGGTACTCCATTAAGAATTTTCATTTCTTTGCATGCATATGCGAATATTGATAAGTTTTTTCCCTGCATGAACTACTATTTGCCATTTAATTTACATCACACAAAAGGATAAACACAGAATTATCATGGATTAAGTATATCATCATACATGGACTACAATTAAGCATACAATTCGTAACATACGATCTAAAAATAAAATGACAGACGACGTCGTTCTTCATCTTAGTCACGTTGGTGCTATTGATTGAATTCGTGTGACAATTCATTGACTCGTTCTAAAAACGAATCATCCAAATTAGTAGGCACCTGACTATACCCAATCCCTGAGTGTTAGTGTTTTATTGTGGTCCTAATCCAAAATCCTCGAAGCTTGTCCATCCTTCATGCTCACCTACACTATCGTGCTCATCCCTACCCTCTTGTTGTTAGGACTCTATATGTGAATAATTTGGCTAGGATTAGGTGGCCTCAAAATCATCATCTCTCTCATTTTCCCTTAGACCCCCTTCACACTCTCCCTCGTTAGGTGCAATATCACCGACATCTCCGATGAATTGTGGATATGTTGGCTGGCTGCTTCATCTTTCATGCTGCTCATCACCTGCTTCAAGATCTTCCACACCGATAGCCTCAATGAACGCTCTCTTGTGCGACACTGACTCCTCTTCTTCTACTACCCATTGTTCTGCTGTGTCTGTGATAAATATTGTGTCTAAGTCTATCGGGTCATAGTCTTCAAGCTTTCTTCTTATTTGTCGCTCTCGGAGGTTTAATTTGTAATGAACGTAAACTAGTTTATGAAGCTTCTCCGAAGCGATTCGATTCTCCTAGTAGTGTGCAATCATTGAAACGTACTTCAATTTTGCTCACAGCCAATAGCAGAACATATCTGCGAGAGCACCTTGATTGCTATCCTCTTTAGGTGAGGTGCATCACTACCATATATCTCCCACCATTCAGCTAGATTAAAATGCAAAAAGCATTGTAAGGGCAAGAACAATTCATAAGATTAAATATATGAATGAACAAAATATTAGTTAGGGGATAACCTGGATCCATCTTAGTTAGAGAATTATTGGCAAGTCTAGTTCCGAAGGATCCTATAGCATCCCTATACATAGCAAGCTAAAATAGAATATTTCGTTTTAGTGCATTATTCCTCACAAATATAACAACTTAATCAAGTTCTTATCCAAATATTAAATAATACCTTTTGTATTGTTTCTACCTGGTTTCGATAACTTCTCTCCAACCTGGCAATAATGTTCTTCCATAATCATGTAGGGATGTTCAGGTGTCAAATAGAAAATTTTTGGGTTGAAGTAGTAACCTAGAAAATATATAGATAGAGAAATGTCATTTAAAATTTCATAAAAAAATAATTTAGAATGAAACATTCTAATGATATAAATACATATTTACGTAAT